TGAAATTTCATATATAAGTATTTTATCAAAATCGTAGATCCGTATCAACTTTTGAGCGATTTCTGACAACCGGAAGTGGTACTTTTTCTACTTTGAATTTTTCAAAAGCCTATAACTTGAGTACTATTTCAGATAGATAAATGAAATTTCACATGTAAGTAAAAGATCTAATTCTCTACCTTCTGTTAAATTTTGAGTAATTTCCGTTGACCGGAAGTAGTAATTTACGCTACTTCCGATTTCTCAAAAAACTAATGTAAATTTTTAAAGTAATAATAATATTGCGCACTATTATGCGCTTTTTTATTTCGCGTTCACTTGGTGTGCAATTAATTTGTCTACGAGATTTTATTCTATTTTTAAAACTTTAAGTATTTAAAATGGATTAAAAATCATGTCTATAGCCCGAGTTCCCATCCCCTGTTATTTTATATAAGAATATTCGAGAAAGTTTAGGGGAGATCACTCCCGGTTTATTTTGTATTATTTTAAAAATTTTAAAGTAATCTATTCCCGCATTTTTGTTTCAGGAAATATTTGAAATAAACTTAAACATAATTTATTTTTGCTACGCTTTCTGCGCTCGTGTTTATAAAACGCCTTGCAAATGTTTATTAAAGATTTTTTTGTCGAAAAGAATAAATTGGCTATTTTTTATTTTTTTTTAAAGTTAAAAATAATTAGCTTTTTTTTTCCCCTTAATGCATATTTTTTTTCTTCTAAAAAACGAGCGAAAGTATGTAAGTTCTACCTTATTTATTTTAAATTTCAGTCGTTGGTGACGTCACGAACCTCAAAGTTCAACAAAGGAGCAGACATGAAAGAGATGAAGAAGAATGAGAACCGTTTTTTCTGGGGGAGAGGGGTAGTATATAGGGGGAGGGGGGTGGTGTTAGAGTACATTCCCCGCTTGATCGATTTTTAATGAGCAGGGGACATTAGAAGAAAATGATGTTACAGAAATCTAGAGCGGCAGTTCAAACAAACAGGGACGCCGGGGTATTTATTACAATAATACACGACTGCGCCGGACTGCGCTTTAAAAAAAATGTGTTCTGTTTGTTTTCGCGCGCGACAACGCGGGATAGATAAAAATGCACCCCACCCCCCCTCCACCACCCCTTTTGTCTTTCGTTTTCTTTTTTTTTAAAGATTTAACTTACAAGAGCACATTAGCCCAGGACAGGTACCGTGGTAAGTTCTATAAATAAAAATTGTGTAGAACAATTAGGTTTGCTTCCAGTTGAACGTGAGCAGTATTTTGTGCGGGATCAGAACGTGAGCAGTATTTTGTGCGGGATCAGAACGTGAGCAGTATTTTGTGCGGGATCAGAACGTGAGCAGTATTTTGTGCGGGATCAGAACGTGAGCAGAACGTGAGCATAAATTTGTGCGGGATCAGAACGTGAGCAGAACGTGAGCATAAATTTGTGTGGGATCAGAACGTGAGCAGTATTTTGTGTGGGATCAGGACGTGAGCAGAACGTGAGCATAAATTTGTGTGTGATCAGAACGTGAGCAGTATTTTGTGCGGGATCAGAACGTGAGCAGTATTTTGTGCGGGATCAGAACGTGAGTAGTATTTTGTGCGGGATCAGCATAACCCAGAGGGAGCTCTAGGTAAAATATCTGCTGGTGTAATCTAAAGCATCGTCTACTTTGATCATCCATACCTACAACAATCAGACATTCAAGTTTGATTATCTAATTGGGCCATCTAAAGTATGAACATCTAATTTATTTTTCTAGTTTAATTATCCAATTTGGCCATATAAATTCCATATAACTTAACTATCCAATCCAATCATCTAATTCAATCATTGGATTTAACTATTCAACGAATACATCCAATTTAGCCATCACGTTAAAAACCGGCTAATTTTTGTTTTCTCGTTCGTGCCAAGAAACATCGGGGCAGATGAAGTAGAGCGTATCTGTTTTAATTACCTCGACATATTTTGGATAGTTCGACCAGCACTATGTCCAACCGCTTTTGTTTCCTTAATGCGAGGTACCCATTACAGCTGGATAAACTCAGGCACGTCCTACAGACTCGACCCCGGGATCCGAACCCGAGACTTCTGGATCATCAGTCAAGCAACCATCTGACTTAACCATCTTATCTAACCACCCAGCTCAACCAACCTACCTGCCCACCCTATCCCACCATTCTATACTACCGTATTAATCAAGCGCCCATGTATATTACATAAGCCCCCAAATCCTATACAAATAATCACCCGGCTCTAAATTTAATCCCGGCAGTAATAATTCATCAATGTTCGGGTCAACGCGTTCATAAAAACAATTAGCTCCGTGGTCCGGTCCGGCGTCCGGCACGTCACGTCGGCCAGTGTTAACGTATTATAAAATTAGCCGGATGGAAATAATGGCCGGATGTTGTTGAATTAGGGACTAACGAAATAACCGGCTTGCACAATTAGCCATCGGGGTATAAATATTTGAGAAGGATTGCTACGGCTAAACCGTTTTATACCGTGATCGTCCACCTCACGGGGAGATAATCGAGTTTTTCTTGTGGCGAGACTAAGGGTTGCAGGGCCGGTGATAGCCAGCCCGGGAGGAATTGTTGAGTGGTGTGGTGTACCCGCTGGTGTGGATTGATGCACAGGTAAATCAGGTAGGTTGTGATGACGTAAGGTTTAGTTAGCAACTGCAGTGTTTGTTAAAATAATTGTCATATTTTTAAAGTGTCTTCAAAGTGTGTTTAAATAAACCGGGAGTGATCTCCCCTAAACTTTCTCGAATATTCTTATATAAAATAACAGGGGATGGGAACTCGGGCTATAGACATGATTTTTAATCCATTTTAAATACTTAAAGTTTTAAAAATAGAATAAAATCTCGTAGACAAATTAATTGCACACCAAGTGAACGCGAAATAAAAAAGCGCATAATAGTGCGCAATATTATTATTACTTTAAAAATTTACATTAGTTTTTTGAGAAATCGGAAGTAGCGTAAATTACTACTTCCGGTCAACGGAAATTACTCAAAATTTAACAGAAGGTAGAGAATTAGATCTTTTACTTACATGTGAAATTTAATTTATCTATCTGAAATAGTACTCAAGTTATAGGCTTTTGAAAAATTCAAAGTAGAAAAAGTACCACTTCCGGTTGTCAGAAATCGCTCAAAAGTTGATACGGATCTACGATTTTGATAAAATACTTATATATGAAATTTCATCAACCTAGCTGTAACGGTACTCAAGTTATCGTGTTTACACACGGACACACACACACACAGACACACACACAGACACACAGACATACGGACAAGATTGCAAAATTATGTTTTTCCGTATCAGTGAGATGCAAAACGTCGAGATTTGCAAAAATCTCGATTTTTTTTTTTTGCACGATTACAAGACTTTCTCTATACTTCGTATATACGAGAAAGTAAAAATGTAATGGAACATAAAAATATAATGAAAAATATCGTTAAATTTAAATGTTGTATGAACCTTAAAGTTATTACTTTTTAAATTACATACTTTACAATATTTAAGATTTTTTTTATAATTCAAAATACCAGCTTCTTTTTAAATATTGGTGATGACTCATAAATAAATATTAACTATTATGTACATTAGAAGCCCCCTTTACCCATAAACCGAATCTACCTTCCCCCAGCCACATCTACCCCCCATATTAGCCGCCCCTACATCGACTAAATCCCCCTCCCCACTCACATCTACCCCCCCCCCCCCATATCAGCCGACCCTACATCGACCAAATCCCATTCCTCCCCACCCCTCCCCACCCACCCACATCTAACCCCCCTCCCCCCATTATCTGACCCTAGCATCGATCCCCCCTGCCCCACCCACACCTCCCCACCCCCCAGCCACATCCCCTGTCTTGTCGTGCCATCGACCTATCCACAAGCCCGAAGATTGGGCGTGGACATCCCGCCTGCCGCCAAACCTCGTGGGGATCGGGATCACACACAAACCCCATTCGATCACCCCTTGGTTAATTGTATAATTCCTGCTTAATATTTCTACGATATTAGACACTGAATCTTCCCCAATTTGTTTTGTCACGAACTCAAAAAAAAAATTACTTCCCCTTGAACCTGCAGTTGCCTCCCATGAAAATTATCCGCCCGACCCCCCACCCCCTCCCCAGTTCCAACACCCTGTCCGTTATCAAATGTAATGAAGTGCTACCAAGCGGGCGTCATATTTTCTCCTCAAATCTTTCTCAATCTCGTCTGAATTTGCCTGGAGTGGAAATCAAATTTAACTCGTCAATTATGCAACGGGGAATTTGGTCCATCACGTCAGATGCCCGTTCAGCTCCGGGTCTATCAAGAAGGAGATTTTCTAATAGCATTATAATCCACGGGAGGTGTAAGGTTTATTCCTTAATTAATGTCTGGTTTCTATGTGTGGATAAAGTCTACACTGACAGATCCATAGTCATAATATCCATTTTAGGTAAATTCTCACAATCCTTAGTAATTAATATAAAATATTCTTGCAATATTTTTTGTTTATGTTTGAATAAAATGTCGTTAAAGTCTCATACATTGCCAAACACCAAGCAAATAAAGGGTAAAATACATCCAAGTGCTTGCAAGTATGCTATAAAAATTGGGTTTTTCTGCGCATGACCAAAAGAGGCATTATTTGAAAGAAAAGTAGGAAGTCAACGTAGTCTAATGGATATTGTGTCAATAAGCTGGAGGGTGTATATATCCAGTAGGACCAGCTAAAGGTGTTTGATGTTTACGTCAAGGTACAAGCACCAACAAGAATCATTCAAGTAGAAGAACAAAAATTTATCAGTCAAGTAGAAGAACAAAAAACTATCACTCAAGTACAACAAAAAACTATCAGTCAAGTAGAAGAACCAAAAACTATCAGTCAAGTAGAAGAACCAAAAACGATCAGACAAGTAGAAGAACAAAAAACTATCAGTCAAGTAGAACAACAAAACAGAATAAGAAAAACCAAGAAAAGCCAAACTTACTGTGTCCGCAATGTGAAGGCGGCGCTGGTTATAGACGAGGGTAGGTTCAGTCCCTTAGTGATCTCCCTCCAGAGTTTCTTGTTGATCACCTCGACTAGTCCGCCCTTGGAAACGACCAGGCGGAATAACTCGTATAGATCCAGCGTCTGTTTGGCCATGATGGGGATGCGGTTCACTGGGGTACCTGGAAAGGGGAGATAAAGGGGAGGGGATGGTAATGGAAAAAAATATACATTTGTGATGTATTTAAAAATAATTATTTAAATTAATTTTCATAAAATTAATATATATAAATTAAATTAACATTCTTTATTTAATATGTTTACAAAATATATAATTTTAAAGTAATGTACTAAAATAACTTTAAATTAGAAAATAAAAGCTTGAAGTCTTGGTTTTTAAAGGAAAAAAAATAGCGTTTATTTGCATCAATTTAATGCCTGAGAAAACAAAACACACTTTTTAAAAAAATAAAACCCAAAATTTAATGGCCAATCGTGCCAAGGAAAGAAATCCCAAGGATAAAAATGTAAAGTCTTATAAAAATTTACAAGCTTAGTCGAGGGAACGGAATTTTTTTAACATCATCTCAGCCGCACAAGATTAATCGTCTCATGTCATCAATCGAAGACAGAAAAAGACACAGAATGTTCCGGAACATAAAGAACCAGAAAAATAAAACAAACATTTCATGATATAAAATGTCTGACGTGTTAAAAACTAAAACGAGGCTCTGTGATATTTAAAACAAAAACGAGGCTCTGGGATATCTAAAATGAAAACGAGGCTCTAAGATATGTCAAATGAAAAATAGGCTGTTAAAAAAACTCAAAAACTCGAAACATATACAGGAATTGTTTAACTTTAGTTAAAACATCAATGCAGTTATGGAAATAAAAGACGAAGAAGAGAAATCTAAATCTAGCTACTACGAGAGTTATTTTTTAGAGTAATTTTATAAACCTTTTAAATGCCATTGATAACGCTTAATAATTAAAAGCGATACTAGCCGAGTTAAAAAAAAATATAAGATAAGCTCTGTTTTAGACTGTTGGGTTAGCGATTGTGTTACAGAAGAATTCTTATTCATTCATCTTAGTACCTATACCAGTTTCTTCACACAAAACTCAGGGATCATTGTGTTTGTTAGGATAATAGAGTATGTTTTTTTTTGTTCGTTCTCTTTGTAGCTTCCGATTTTCTCCTTTTTTATGCCTGTTGTATTGTTTATATTTTCAGACAGCCAGAAATAAAAGTTCCAGATTTGCGAGGAATGTTAATTTGACGCAGTTCTTGCATATTGCTGTCAAATAAACCGAAGATTGAATAACAGCCAAATCCACAACACTCCCCTCCCACCCCCCCCCCCCCCCCCAACGTCTAGTATACGTAATCATTTTTTTTTTTTTACCTATCTTTGTTTTGTATTCAAATATGTGAAATCGCTCCCAATGGCGCCAAAGAATTCTGAATTATGATTTGATGGAGTGAGTGTCGACGTAGCGGATCTATTTTTAGCGAATTCAAACCGCCCCCCCCCCCCCCCAACATTAATGCTTTATTGCACACAATCTTTAATGATATAGCACTTTATTACATTTTTGCACGAATTAAAAATAAACTTGAACAATCTTTTAAATATTTAAATTTTATATTTAAGATGATATTACTCTTCTTTTTTTTTTCATTGACGTTTTCATATTTATTTTATTTGACATACTGTAAGGGTTTTAAAGTAAAAAAAAAAACTAAGCTATTTTTTTTAATTTTTAAATGTTTAAAATAAATGACATTCTAGCGAGATCTGCCTGCACTTCCCCACAGCAGTATATTAATCATGCTAATTGATAGCCCCGATTTCACACACTGCAGCGGCTTCTATAAAGAACACAAAAAAATGGAAGCACCGCCTCTAAATGGTGGCGGGCTAATCGACAGCATCTGAAGAGATCGTATTCCCAGCCAACGATTCCGATTATTTGCCTGTTTATAGAGGCTATGCGGGGCGTGATCAAATGTCGTAATGCTCTGCTATAGGATGCGCGCGCAGCTGTAATCATTTCCTATGCACAAACCGGTAGTTATCGATAAAAAAATGAATGGTGGTGTGCGGAATTATACTGTAGAAGATACGAAACAAATATGCTATTATTTTAATCAGGGTACTACTGTTAGAAAAGTAATTCAAGCATGCAGGTTAGCATGTTTAAAATATTTGATTCAGAAGATGGGTTAAATTTAATATAAAAATGATTTAAAATATATCATAAAATGTGATTTTATACGGCGTCAAAAATATAATATAAGACGTGTTTGGGCAAACGATAATACGTCTCAAAAGAACTTTGGTTTTTGCTAAGTTGTAAGCTAGTTGGAAGAATTTGATGTTTTTCTTAAAAAACGAATATTAACACTTGACTATATTACCCTCAAAACATTTATGTATAAACAAATCTCGATACTAATCTGCATTTTCAAACAGATGATCTTTTGTTTTTTTTAATAATGACTCTCAGATTGATTGGGATTGAATAATTTATACCAAATCTGGAACAAGAACGAGATGCTGATCTTGAGCAGTGTACCAATTAATCGCAGCAATGGCAGAAAAAACTTCAATGTCGAAACATTAGCAGGATAGTAGATTATCAGCCGCAAAAACATGACAGTTGATCACGTACTAATTCACGAGTTAAAAACAATGCGCTAAGACAGATTTTAAACCGAAAACGTAAAGTATTTCGTAAATCTTAACCTTTTCTTACGTCAACTTCCGCCTGAGTTACTACAAAAGTTGAAAAAATTTCATCGCCAATAAATTGAATCCTCTCTCTGGTTACCTAGGCAATTCATCTTCTGTCGTATGGTAAGAAAAGTTATCGTCTGCGAGATGTTTTCTTCACCAGCGATTAGACCGGGGGAATGGCAAATAGCAGAAGACATTTCAATGTTCAAATTTAATTACGGTTAAATTCGCTTTTGAAATAAATTATCTCCCCTTCCAGAAGTCTCTTGCGTTTCGTTTATTTTTAGCCACTTAATGTTTTCGTTCGTTTTTTTTTTTAACGTAACATTTTATTATTAAACTAAACCATCAACTTTTTAAGTGTTACGAGCGGGGAAGGGGGAATGGAAGGTCGTTAATTTGAGGGCAAATACATTCACCTAAATTTTTTACTGAAAAATTTAAATTTAGCTTGGCATATTTATGTCTCTAATTGTAGATTTAAAAGCAAAGTAAGGAAGTTTTTTTTTTTTAGGTTTGTATATACATTTAGTTAGATGCAGTAAGCGTAGCTCTTCCTACGCAAATATAGAGTTACGGCAGATTATTTAGCTAACGCTTAGCGTGAAAGTAAATAAGCGAACGTAGTTGTTTTTTTTTTTATTCATATTTAAGCCAAGTAATGACGCGTTCACAAAGCGACAATTTTCTAATTGCGCGCAGCTAATGTTGCGTAGAGCGCGACGTTTGTTAGTAGTTAGCGCTCCAACGGCGGATAATGGAACGAATTTGAATACGCCTGCCAAAAATGTTGTTCGCGTCGACGCGACGCGGCGTCAGGGCTTCAACTGTCAAAACGTTTTAGATTCGTTTCCAATTAAAAGCTCGTACAGATCTTCTCGACGCAAACGTTTTAATGTGTTTTGATATTTGATAGTTTGCCACTTTCGGTTGTAGGTTGGTGGATTTTTTTTTAAACTTTTTTTTCACAAGATTTGAGCTTCCGTTACGAGCGTTGACGGAAATACACGATGAATTTTTTTAGTATTAAAAAAAAAAGACAACGGAAAAGACGTCAGTTTTCAGATTTATTTAAACATCATTGTCAATGTTGGTGTTTAGGTGATATGTACTGGGGGAAGGGATAGCTGAAAAGTAAGTAAACATTTTGGTTGGGAGGGGTGGGGTGGCAGGGGATGTAGGGTGTAGTGGTAGTGGGTGTAGGGTGAGGTGGTAGGTAGAAAGGGGGGATGTTCCTGTGTTTTCAAATCTGATCATCTGTGACGATACATCTCACAACATGACGCCCATCTTCGTCATGGCCATTTGGACTGACTCGCGTTTCCTTAAGTGGTAAGCGATGGGGTTCTGAGGGTTAAAGGTGGGGTTCACTGGGTTATGAGTGGGGTTCACTGGGTTAAGGGTGGGGTTCTGTGGGGTTCTGTGTGTTAGGGTTCAGAGATTTTGTATATTTGCCATTTCTATGGTTATAATAGGTAGAGACTGTAGTGTTTTGCGTTTAATGAAAGCTCGTATTAAATTTTTATGTTAAACTGATGTCAGCTGTTTGGTACAATAGTTCATGGATCAAGAAAAACTAAATTGAATTTAAGGCATTTCTTTTAATTCTAATATCAAGCTGTACTAGCGTCATTCAGCAGTAGTGAAGCTGAAGTAAAGCTAAGTCGTTGTTTTATTTTTATTTTATTTTTAAATATCAAAATCCTCAAATAAGATTTTTTTATAACAATGTCTTGGCTAATTTGGTATTATCCTTTTGAGTCTCCCCCTTCCCCAAAGAGTATATCCACATATACTTGCAAAAGGTGACTCGTACTTGGCGTTATGAATATAACCAATCAGAAAGTAGTCTTTCAACCACGTGACCACTTAACCGAAACTGATTGGATGTCGTTTCACACATCTCTTCCATCACGGAGAAAAATGCCCGTGGAACTGTCATGCTCTTCTAGGGTTGCAGCTCCAGATTTATTAATTGCACTTGGGGGTGAAGCGTCATACTTACACCCCACACCTTCCACGGTGACGTCTGCTTAATAGAGACGTATAGTTTCTATTATCCTGGGAGCTGTGGGGTCTGGTATGTGGGAGATGAAAGCTGGGTGCTAAACGGAGAGGTTGAATGTCTCCTTCAGAGTAGGTTGCAACCTACATGTAAGTAGTAGGTTGTAAAACTATGCCGAGCTTTAATCACGTTTTTAAAAAAAATATATGTATGTATATATGAATATAATTTTATATATATATATATATATATATATATATATATATATATATATATATATATATATATATATATATATATATATATATATATATATATATATATATATATATATATGCTTGTGTGTGTGTGTGTGTTGAAATTTATCGGATTTCGAAAACAAAACAATAAGATTATCGAATCCGCAAAGTGCAGTTTCATATTAATTCACTCA